ATTGAAATGTTAAAGATATTTATACATAACAGACACAGTAAAAATTAACAAAAAATGCATAACACTCTCAAATTGTACCACAAACTGAAAATAAAAGCAAATATCCACTTTTTCATTTCTACTAAAATGTCTTCAATCAAAAATATAGAATTTTCAAACATTAGATTTTTATAAATTAATGCATTATACATTACATCATTAGAAATAGTATAAGCTATATTTTTTCTAATCCAGTCATTTGCAACAAAGTTACAGTGCGTTTCCTGTTGTATGTCAAAATTCCACTACTTGGACCCGGTAAGAATTTTGATGTTATAAACTTATAAAAGACACTTAAATGGACACAATGAAACAAGTTTTTTTTTATTTGTTCTGTGTTAGACCAAAAATTCTGTAAACTGACAAACTGCAAATTTTTGAAAAGATCTTTGGCCTAATAATGGTGTGTAATATGTTCTGTTATTGGGCAAGGACTTTAGATCGTTTGGTGATAATAATGAGAAGTCCATGTAATGATAACAAATTATTTTATTTATTTCTTAATGTTTGTTACAAGCTACTATCACTTGTAAACATTCACATGCCCTAATTCACAAATAACATTTTCACTTTCAACACATATTTACTTGCTTATGGTACTATGGCTAATGTATAAATAAACATACTTGTATAATTTCATGGCTAATTAATCGAGTACCAATGCTATAACTAACACTTATCTGAAAATTCCATACTTATTCAATCAGTAAACAAACTAAAACTTGACTCAATGTTTCACAAATTTTCGTATTTTTATTATGTATCTTTGTGGCCTCTCTTCCTACTGCCACTGGGATTTTAACCTCTGGTTTAGTAATTGCCGTGTATACTACGAAGCTAGCTTAACTATGCATCCACGTCTCTGCATGAAGTCAGTTCCTAATATGCACGCTTCTTTGATATCCATAACCTACACATCGTGAGGTGTAGAGAACTTTCCTACAGTAAGCGTAACTTCTAACTTTCCTTTTGCCAGAACTTTATGCTCACTCACGATTTGCATCACTCCCTCTTCTTTCTTATCTCTGGTACCTATTTGCATGATATCTGTCATTGAACTAGCCCCTTTATTAGAGAAGGAATGTGGACTATATTTCTAAGTTTACTAAGTGTATCTACACACATTGTGAGAAGCTTTGGTAAAATGTATAATTCTTTTGTACACAAAAACATCAGAGTGTTACAAAAGTATCCATACTCAAGGTACGTCTGTCAACTGACGACCTCTGTCTCACTCAAACTCTAACAAGTTGGAATGCAAGATTATGTTTTTATGAATAATAATATCACTTTTGCTCATCGTACAATTTATATAAAGTAAAAAATAAAACTACTTTTTGACATTGTACAGTATACATATTGCATATTCATAGCCTCCAAAACCTCTGAAATGCATATCTATAATTGTTTTTTATTCAGTATCCTTGTATATTGTATCTGGTATTTACTCCCCTCTACATGAACTGTCGCTACACCAACAATGTAGGGTAAAATGAATAATTGTTAACTCTGACATCAAATACATAATATCACATTGAATGGCACTCTGTCAAAGGTCATGAGTTGTGCACTTTGAGTCCCACCTGTTCACACAGAGTTAATAGCTGTTGATTCCACACAATCTCAACTGTAAGTGCTAAGTTTCCAACATCTATAACAGTTCCCTCTTTCTGGTATCCTTTGGGAAGAGCTGTTATTCCATACAGGCTTTTGTTTGTAATTTCTAGCAATATGTTTTTTCAAGTTACACTTGAAACATGTATTATCTTGTGGTTTATTTTCTCCATTTTGTGCAAATAGTTGTTTAATTAATCCTTTCAGTTCTTCTAAACTATCATCAAATGCAGTTGATGTTTCAATACTACTCAATATGATGTTACTGTAACTTCTAAATGTTGTCTTTAGTTGTTTATCTGTGACTTTCGTAGATTCAAGTCCCATCACCAACTGAAGAGCTTCCTTTAAATATATGCTCCTGTTTTGCTTCAACCTAATTCTCATACCTCCTCTATTATGTGATCTATAAATTGGACATGCATCGACAAATCCATCATTTCAAGAAGAGCATCCAGGTAAGATAATTAGGCAAGCCTTTCCAAATCTTCCATGAGCTCAGATAAGGTCTTTTTTTACCTGCACACTCTGTTCCAGAACTTTGCTCTCTATACTTCTTTCAGGCATGTCACTTTAGACCTGTTGGATAAGGCAGCTACCAAAGCTTGACAGTTGTTATAGCTCTCAGCTGAAAAGTTACTTAATGTTCTTAAGGCTAGTTCTTTTAAATGGGTAACAAGATGAACAGCTTGATGCTCACTATTCCACCCTGGTCACTTTGGATTTTTTTTCCAATTAAGCCTGATATGCTGCCCATGATCCTTTTCCATCATAGTCTGTAGGTTTCTCAATTAGGTGATATTGTTGAATTAGCCAGCTAAATTCTGGAATGGGAATTAGTAGTGACACAGCTGAAGTAGTCCAGAAAGGTTCTGCAGTAACAGATAGTACAGCAGTAGTGGTAATAGTTGTAGAACAAATAAGTTCTCCAATTCCATATTTTTGTTGTGGACTTTTAGGTTGGAATCCTTGAGCAGACACAGAAGGGGTTGGGCTGGTTTAATTTTTAAATTTGCCAATTCATTTTTTATATGTTTTATTCTGTCACTAATGTTCATTTCTACCTTACTAATCTCTTTCTGTACTTCTTTGAGTTTATCATTACAGCCTTTTTGTACTTTGTTGATGTCCTTCTGTACTTCTTCAAACTTGTTGTTGTAATCCCTCTACATGTCCTCAATAGTTTTCAGGATCGTATCTTCAACCAGATTTATTTCTGTCCTTAATTCTTCTTTAGATATTATGTATCATGTTTCTTACTTTCTGTCTATTTCTTCTTCATCTTCTTTCAATTTTCTGTTTCTCTCTCTTCTAGACTTTCTTTTAACCATTTAGTTAATTACAATAAATGTTCGATATCACCTCGTGAGGTCAAGTATAAAGTTAAAGTCTAACAATTAGAAACATCGTTATAAACTCAAACGTGAAAGTCGTAGGTTGGCGATGCAGAGGTAGGCCTGTTAATATTGTAAGCTATATTTCCAATGTATTAACTTAGTTTTTTTGGTAGAGAGAGAGACGTTAACATGTTGACACTAGATTTAGAAAATTTATAAGGTAGTGCTAGAATACATAGAATGTTCACGAATCTCTATTTAATATCTAGAAATAAAGGATACGTTACAAATTCGAGAACCAGTGAAGCATCGAAACAATTTTTAGTTGGTTCAGTGATAGAAAAGGTAGGAAAGTATCCAGATCAGTGTTAGTTACATATTCAGTTAAATGATCGCTTACCCATGAAATTGCGCAAGTAAGCTTATTTGTACTCTAGTTGTAGTATATAATTGGTTAATAAATTTATGTTGAAAGTGAAACTGTGTACAATAGTACGATAGTAACCCGTAGTAAACGTTAAAGAAGAATTAAAATAATTGGTTATTGTTATGTGAACTTGACTTCGCCATATTTTTACCAAATAATTTAAAAGAACCCGTCAAATAATAGAACAAGTTACAACATTTATGTCAGAAGTGGGATTATTTTTGTGAAAATAAAATATAACATCGAGGATTGTACGTTGATGTTTTACGAAATTTAAGAAAAATGATATTCGTTTGATCGTCCTGGGGCAAATTTGTCAACAAATATTTTCTAGTTAATAATTATTATACTGAAATGCACAATTAAGTAAGTTTTTAACTGTTAATAACTCCATGTCTTTATAAGGAAGCATGACACAAAAATTAACTTATATAAGTATTTTTATTCACATGAATGCATTTGTTGTATTTGCTATTAAGGGTTAAAACAAATCAATTAACTCGTTTTCCTACAAACATAAGGCCACATTGTAAATACTTTCGTCTAATTAAGAGAACGGATCCGATCAATAACACAGCAGAACTTTCTGAATGAAAACTGGTACATAAGTATAGCGTCCTTTAATTTTATTTTTTTTTATTTAAAATAAATTAGAGGACGCTAATTTCTATTGTTTATGCAAAAGGATCCAGTTAAAAAAACTTTTTCTCCCTATATCATACTTTTATAATGTGGACGAAATATTATTATACTTGTTTTTAGGGCAAAGATACACAACAAACTAAATGCGCTCTGCCCAACGTCGTCGTGTCCATAGGCCACGATTGGGTACATCTTCCCCAAATCTTTTTCACACACTTTTAATAATTCTAAATCCATGTATAAGCCTTTGATCAAATATGTTTAGAACACTTGTCTGTTTTGGAAACCACTAAGTTAATCCAAGTAACAATGATAATTTAATAATATGAAAAGTAAAAGGTCCTCCTAAAAATTTAGTTGTATGGCGCCCTTGGCTCTGTCCACCACAGAGAATTGAACCTCGGATTTTAGCGTTGTAAGTCAATAAACTAACCGCTGACCCAGAAAACTAAGACAGATTGCTTTTGCAGTGCCCTCCAGTGGCACAGCGGTATGTTTTTGTTGTTAGTTATTAAGAACAAAGCTACACAAAGGGCTATCTATGCTCTGCTCACCACAGGTATTGAAACCCGATTTCTAGCAGTATAAATCAGCAGACACAACGGTATGTCTGCGGACTTACATTGGTAGAAACTAGGTTTCGATACTCGTGGTGGGCAGAGCACAGCTATCCTACTGTGAAGCTTTGCGTTTAACTACAAACAATCAACCAACTTTTGCAGTATTTGTGAAAATGTTTAAACTTCGTTATACAATTTGCTACTTGCGCCCTTTGAGATAAATTAGTTTTCAAAATTGCTAATTAGCTTTTTTTTTACAAGCCTTCTCTGTCTAATATTCTAAAACAGTTAATTTTTTGTTACGTTGATTCTATTAAATTTAAACTACATTTTTGCAGTAGTAAATACTTCCCTTGTTAGCATGTCCACGAAACAATAACAGGTAACAGTAGCGCCAGACTAAACGTCGTGAGCAATATTGCATTTCACACGCTATCATATATTTTGCTAACATCCGGGTTCTTGAATGCAGAGAATGTCGCAGTTATTGTTTGACGCCCTATCTGGTAAGATTACTTTTAAAGATGTAAAATTCTACTCCTAATTTGAATTTAGTTATAAATTCGTTCAAAATATTTTATTTCAGTAAAATTCTAACGAAAGTTATTAAGATAAAGTCTATGATCAAATTTACTAGGCTTAGGCTAGTACGCGTCGACAAGATAAATGATAACATGATGGTCAGCCATTTTCTCGAAGTTTACTTTTTTATTGCAATTTTAATTTTTACTGTACCCTGAGTAAATTTCAGATAAATAACTATTGGTTCAATGTTTTATAACTATGTAATATATAGCCTGTGCTGTATATAAAAAATATTGCAATAGTCTGACCAGTAAGCTTACCGCCACCGCAACATCACCAATGCATGGAATAAAAAGTCGGGAGTTGGAATCGCTACAATAAAAGCCAAGACATTGTGGAAGTGTAGGGGATTTGTCCATACTCCCTTGAGCATTTACAGCTGTCTAACAAGTGTGTTTTGTAATATAAGCGTGAGGTAATTTTAAAGTAATACCCCATTACAAGTTATGTTACACATGAGATACACATCACACACACACGCACATTTATGTATACCTTAGTTCTAAATAAGATATTAAAAATTACAATTTACAGTGAACACGAATATTATTTTATTCCGAATCCATCCATAATACTTTATTACGTAAAAAGAATGTACATAAATATAGCTGCTTATTCAAACATTAATCAATAAGTCTATATATATATATATATATATATCTATGGGTGAGTGAATGTAATATTATGCACATTTAGCAGGTTTTTATTTCAATTGTAGTTCTAATGACTTATCAGAAATATATTCATGTTTATAAATTTCATTGAAAGATAAAGCATGTTCAACATTTTTAAGTTTGGTGGTTACAGAAGTTCAATGTAACCTAACAATAAACATAATGTCTTGAAAATAATTGTGAACTGGTACATATATATCTATTTATTTATTTAATAAAAGTTCTAATTTCTATAAAAACATCTTTCTGTAATACAGGGATTTAAAATAACGAATATTTTTTAAAATGCTCATTTTGTTTGTACTCTCTAATTTTATGTCTTTAACATAAGTATAGTATACTGTAAGAATATTTACACTTTAATCTTACCAGAATTTAATTTAGTTGATACTGAATTTCTTGCAAGACATTAGAACCACAATGTAGACAAATTTAGTTGCATTGAAGAATTTATTTTACCAAGATGCTTTTCTAACTCTTTTTTTTTTTCTTTTTTTACTTAAAGATATGTTTCAAACATTTCTGATTGAAAATTTTATTTTCATCCATATAGATTAAGAAATAGTTGCTAGACTTTATAAAATGTAAAGTTTACATGGACATCTTATATATACGTATATATTGCTAACTGTGATGTCTGTGTGAGCTTTCAGATGTCTCCCATTTGAAAAGCTCAACATTCATTTTCGAAATGACAGGAGAACAGGCATGAATAATGTTGATGCCAAATTTGATTTTGCAAGCAGAATATTCTACACTAAATTGTTAGGAATTAATCACACAGTCATTCACATTTCAAAATGTGTTGTAACTTAAAGAATAAAAATGTAGATTTACCATAAGTTATTGTTGAAATGCTCAACAATTACTTTTTATGGTGAGTGGTATAAATAGCTCAGAGCTTTGGCTCTGAGTGCAACACAATTAACCTTTTTAAAGTCCACGAAATAATTTAAATTAATATATTAACATAAACTTTTCCCATCACTGGGGTCAGGTACTTTTGCTTGGGCTCAATAATATTGACTTGTGTTTTAAATAAGTTATCCAGAAAATCTTGTTATTGGTTATCTAATCAATACTCAGCTTTTTTTTTTTTTCCTATGCAATCATCATTTTACCTTCACTTGAGGGGTATATATTATGCTTTAACAGTTAATAGTTCTGTAATAATAACATATGTTTGATTATAAGTTACCTTGACTCTTCTGTATTCATTGTGTTATTATAACTAAAAAGCTTGAACGGTAAAGAACTTCAGTATTTCATTATCTGATCTTTAATAACTTTACATTCACTAAAGCTTGTTGTGTTGTCATAGGTAAAACTTTTCAAAATTTCTATATTATTGTTTTTTCATCTCAAAACCATATCCCAGAACTATTACCTTATTATTCAGGAAGTATGTCATCATTTTTGAAGTTAAAAAACAGTTGTATTAACTCTTAAGATAATATCAGTGTTTCCATCTCCAGTTATTATAAGTAGAATTGGACTTGTTTCTTTTTCAGTCACTTGAATTTTTTTAATGCCACAGGTTGTGTTTTTGGGGGATTGTTTTCATATTGGTATTTTGTTTTGGGGGTTCTTTTAGGGCAAAATAAAAATTCCCACTATAAACTAAATATTAATTATATTTCTTTGATGTCATAGTAAACTAATAATATATCTTTACTTGATCCTATCTTTCTTTCTCCTTCTGTAAGGTAAGATAACGAGGCACTGTTATTCACCTACGTTTAATTTGAATTATGTTGTAACTGCTATATACATTGTGTGGTCATAGTTTTATTAAGTGTTTGAAGTTATAGAATTGCTCTAAATACACTGAAATATACATGTAGGCATGCAGTTTCTATCCCAATCCAATTTTGAAAGTCAGTTGGGTTTATTTTTCTGATCTGACTTTGCAACAGTGGAAAAAGATGTTGTCCAAAATATAACTTAATGTTACATTATCCAAAGACATTAATGACTTGAATGATCTGTTGGCTAGCTAATTCCTGTTTTGAATTGTTAATCTGTATTACATATGTCCAAAATAAATATTTCTCTTTATCAAACTAGGGGGGATGGCTACCATAGACTCACCCACTGTGCTAACAGTGCAGTCCCTACTGGATTCTCAAAACATACTTACTTCACCTGACTCAGGTAAGAATGTATTTCTTTGATAGTTCAATTCAAAATCCATGAATTATTCTAATTGTACTTTGAACTTGGGTAAACACAATTCCTTTATTATTTTATTTTCCAAAATTATTTCAGTTACTTTTTTTCTTCTTTATTGGGAATTCGTGAAAATTGTTATAGAGCTAGCATTTTCACAGAAAAATTGATATTTTATACTTTTGTAAGAAAGTATATTTTGTGGATATTGTAGTTTGAGAACAATATTTTGGGTAACTCAGTGTTGAACCCAGGGAACTGGAGTTTCTGATATGGTACTTTCCTCTGCTCCCAAGATGAGCTATTCTCATCCAGTGCTGGCCTCTATATGCAAACATTTTCTTTACACATGCCACAAGCCTTCTGCTCCCTTCTATTGGAATCATTTGATTCCAACATATCTGTCATGCAAATCATCATGTGTCACTTCCCCACCAATAGGAGTGTGACATATGTGACCCCATTTATATGCCTCTACTGAGAAGTCAGTTAAGCATATTATGATCTTTTTGGATTTTGTTTCTCAAGTATGCTCTGGATCCATTGGCAACTCCCATAACCCTTCCTCATACCCTGTTAGATGATCTGCTTTGGTGGTTGGAGAAGGCCCATATGTAGATGTGTGACCTGCTTCCTCATCCAGATTTACATCTGTTCATGGATGCATCCCTTCAGGGCTGGGGTGCTTTGGGTTGTTGGTCTGTGGATGAGCAGTCTTTGCATATCAATGTCCTCAAGCTTCTCGTAGTCTGTTGGGCTTTGAATAACGTATTTCCTCTTGCCAGACATTGTCTTGTGATGATTCATTCCTATAATTCTACAGTGGTCAAGATCTTTCTGTTTTTGTATATTGAATCTCCTATATTAGGCCCATATGCACCACCATCATCTCATTGCATGTCACGTTCCAGGTGTTTTCAATCTTGTAGTAGATTGTCTTTCCCACCCCGACCAAATTTATCCAACGGAGTGGTCTTTAGGTCCCACAAGTTCCTTTATGTTTATCCTCCTATCCAATTACTTCATTGGGTGGTCTCTCTCATCCATACCACTATGTGTCAAGTCCTTCTGATTGCTTCCTATTGGCCAGCTCAACCATAGTTTCCATGATTACACCAACTGCAACATTTCTCTCCAGTACCCTTCCCTTGTCTCTCTCTCTTCTTCATCAACCTTGGTCACTGGTTCTACATCCCACCATTCATGTCCTTGATCTTCATGCCTGGTTTTTATCTGACCCTTGGCAATGAGATCAGGTTTCTCTCGTCGAGTAACTTTCGTTTTGGCTCGTTCCATATGTCTTCTTCAATGGAGGTGTATCAGCACAAATGGAAAGTGTTCCACAGTTGGTCCACTACTCTGGGATTTCCCGCTGACCGGCCTACTCTGGTTCTAGTGGCTGAGTTTCTCACATGGCTTTTCGACTGGGGGGTCTTTGGTCTTTTCAATCTCGAGTTATTGGGCAGCCTTAACCCATACCTTTTGTTTTTCCCGATACTGTTGAGTTTTACTTCCCCCTGTCCTGACTGGGATATCAGTTTGGTCCTCCATTCCCTCACTTTGCTTCTGTTTGAACCTGTTTCCTTGTGCTCCATGTTTCACCTTTCCCTTAAAACATATTTCCTTCTCCTTTTAGCCTGTGGATGTTGAAGGTCTGATTTGTTCGCCATTGACGTTTCACATACACTTTACCACCACACCCATCTTCTCCTTTATCGGATCATTCTTCCTCCCAAAGACCTCAGTGACTAGAGAGGGTAACTCCTTTTCACCTATTTCCCTTCTATTTCTCATCTCTACCTCGTCCTGATCCAGATAGCCTTCTATGTATGGTCCATACCCTTCATTGTTATATTGTCCACATGGCTTCCTTCCATGGTACGTGTTCCCAACTCCTTATCCCTGGGCAGTCTTCCTCTGTTCATGATCTATCCCCTTCTACCCTCACCACTTGAGTTCAACATTTGATTCACTTGTCTTCTTCCCAATGGAACTTGTTCAGGGTGTTTTCTCATCAGATTCAACACCTCACCTTTTCCCTCGCATCTCATTGTCATCAGCCATTGGAGGAAATCCTGCAATTGGGCATGTGGACTACACCTAATACATTCATCTCCCATTACTTACACCATGTCGCGGTTTCTTTTTCATCTTCCAGCTGTGGCCGTTTTTCATGCTTCAGTGCGACTTTGACTGGGTAAGTCTATATTCATACATTCTTTTTATTTCAGGGGCCCTTGTTTCATTTATTCATTATAGGGATCCTGCTCTATGGCAAGCAGTGTCTGACCAGATACTCTTCAATCAGAAATCCAAACTGTACATCTTTGTTCACTCATGCTTTAACTTCCATGGCTTCACAATGCTCACTGTTGAGATGGGGTGTTCCACAAGATCACTTGTAGGTGAATAACCTTATGATGTAATTGCTTCATAAACTTGCCTGTTCCAGACCATACTACCCATGGACTGCATGGTTAAAGAGAAGGGATAGCTGCCCATCCTTGCCATGCCTTGTATTGAATAAATCGATATGGTCTACTTTTCAAAATAGGGTTTCGTGGTCAACCATTGCACTGTCTCAGGAGATGACGTTCCTCTGGACTCTGTAATGCATTGTCACCCCCCTTTCTTCTTGTGGAGTATATGGGAGTCTTTATCACTTTCCAGTTCCAAGCTGCTGGGGTGATCAATTGTGGAGGCACCCTCTTGAATGGGTTCCACACAAACATGGCTATAACCATCCAGTGCAAAGTAGAGTGGTGGTGTTCTGCAGGTGTAGATGATGTGATATCCTCCAGTATGGGTTATACAATCAATAAGGAGTGAGACATCAGATTGCTGTCCACCCCTTATCCTACCCCCCATGTAGATGTTGATCCCCCCATGGCTGGGTTTTGGATTTAGAGTAGAACTAATCAACATAAGTCTTCACACATGTTTATGGTTGTCTAAATTTCTCCCTCGATTATACTCCTTCTGTGATGTGGGTCACAGCGGAGGTAAGGGGATTTGCCCCAGTTCTGTCCTTTTGCTATCCTTCTTGTATCTTATTCTGAGGATGATATTGCTTTTGGATGGTTGTGTTCGATTGTGCTGTTGGGGGAGTTGACTTATATATAATAGACATCCTTTTGATAATGGATGTTGGCTCCCCTGTTCGATATATCAAAGTTAACATGTGTCATGTTCTGGAGTCAGAGTGATTCTATATTCCCTCCAGTCTCTGTGTGGATGTCAGTACCCCCACCAGGAGGTTTTGGATGTAGTTGACTTACTGAGTACGGTCCATCACTCCCTAGCCAATCTACACCTAGTGGCACATCCATTGATTTACCCCCTTTCATACTTTGTAGGATTAAGTTCCATATATATTTCATGGTTATTATCATTATCCTGTTTCAATTCTCTTCTACTTGGATGTGCCCCTCTATTTTTCTGCCCTTATCTACTACACACTTCACTGATGGGCAAAGAGTATACCTGATCAGAATTGGTGCAGTTCCCCTCATCAGATCTTCAGATCTGACTTTATTATTTCCATGGGTATCGTTTGTGGGATTGTAGCTCATCTTGTGAGTGGAGGGAAGTATAGGATTGGAAGTTATAATTTTCCTATACTGAAAATGTATTTCTGATAGGTACTTCCCTCTTCTCACACTTTCCACCCTTTTCTGGTGCTTACATCTTCTGCCAAACTTCGAAGTGGTAGTTTGGTAGAGGCATATATAGGGAGTCACATGTGTATGTCATGCTCCTATTGGTGGAGAAGTGACGCATGATGATTTGCACAAGAGACATGTTTGAATCATTTGATTCCAATAAGGGGGGGAACAGAAGGCTTGTGGCATGCATAAAGAAAAAGTTTGCATATAGAGGGCAGGACTGGACGAGAATAGCTCATCTTGTGAGAGGAAGGAAGTACGCATCGGAAATATATTTTAAGTATAGGAAAATTATTCTTACTATTTGATTTGATCGTACATTCTTATAAAAGTTTAAGAACAAGCAATGTGGAAGAAGACCATTCAACCAGTTGAAGTCATCCCTTCACATTGAAACAACTAACCAAAAAACTACTCAGTATGAGCCTAACCCTTTTGCATCTGTATACTGATATAGGAAAAGTTCCAATTTGGCAGTATGTGTATAAAGTTATTATAAGGCAACTTATTCAACTATTTTATAACTTATAAATCAAATAAAAAACATATTTTGCTAAAGAACAAGCCTTGAATTCAACTTATACTCATTGCCCGTAATTAATTTATATTTCCAACCAAACCATTCCTCCATTCAAACAGATATTCTTTACTACACTGTATTTTATTCAAACTTGTGACAGTTTTGTACAATATAATTTTTAGATTTTTAGTTCTGCTCTCCAGAGAAAAATAGTCAAGTTTTTAGATCTCATTTCTTAGCTAAAAGTTTTTACTCCAGTTATCAATCCAGGAATTTGCCTTTCTACTCTGTCCAGTGCTAATATTATTTCTGTGATAAAAAGATTACACATAAAATTATAAATAAAGCCATTCCATAATGTTTCATGAAATGATAATCATCTTTTCACACTTAAGTTCAGTTTGTTTATAATATGTTTCCATAAACCAGTCTAAATGATTAAAAACAAATATGAAACACATATTGAAAACCCATTATTGAGGACCCAGTAACACATACTTTTTGCTACTATCTTCATCTGAACTGCTCTGTTTTCAACAAAATTATGTTGTACGGTAATTTATGTTTAGATACTTGAGTTCTTATGAAGATCTGGCACAAAATGGAGATAAGGAAATATTAGAACAAGCCACATAAATGAAATTATAAATGCTTTTTAAAACAACAAGACCTTTTATTAGTAGTATAGTCCCCCATGGTACAGCAATATGTCTATGGACTTATAATGCTAGAAACTGGGTTTCGATACTCATGTTGAGCACAGCACACATAGTCCATCGTGTAGCTTTATGCTTAGCTACACATGTACAAACGTACTTTATTAGTAGACTTTTGATAAATAATGTAATATTGTCATCACAATGTTTCGGAGTTGTGATATGCCCAGATTTAAAAAAGCTTCATTTCACTTTGTGATGTTCCATTTTATTTGTTAATGATTACATGAATGATGAACATTTACATAAGCATGCAGATAAATCTACCTTCATTCTGGAACAATCAGTCAATAAAGCTTTGTAGAAAAGAGGATGGTATTGACGATTGTCCTTATTACATTATTCCAGAAGCTTCTGAAATACTAGGAGAGGGTGTACAGGTGGGACAAATAAAAATAGTTGTGAGAGGGCAGGATAATAGGAAGGTTCTGACTGGTCGACTACTTCTAGTGGGTGAGAAAAGAAATGGGATGAATAGGAACATTTTTAAGTGGATTTATAAGAATAATCTAAAATGTTGGCAAGATATCAAAATTTATATATAAACTGTATATCATATGCATCATATCATTAGGTGTAAGAGGGAATCCTTTGGTTTCGTAAAGCACCATGGTCATCTAAGCAAAATTGTTATGCATTTCCTGCACCACCACATCTTTTTTCTTGTGTTAAGTGGTGGTTAGTAAAATATTTGAAGTCAGAAGTGTGATGATATGATTGCTTGAATTTTAAATATTGGACTTCAGATCAAGTGCTTTTAATTGTGACATTTTTTAAAAATACATTTGGTGAGTTTATCAATTGGGTGTTCTCAATTTTCTTTCATATCAGAGAAAATATCATCAACCCCACAACAATTGGTGCTTTGATAGGTAAATAAATAGTAACATAAAAACAGGGTCTTTATTTACTTGTAAATTTCAAGTTTCATTAGATACTTTGCCAGCAGGCTCAGGTGCTATGAAACACTTGATTTGAAATTCACAAATATATTGTATTGGTGTTTTCTTAGGTATGACTATTGCCCCTGATGATGAAGATGTTTTTCAGTGTGGTCGTTGTAAGAAACAGTTCAGTTCACTATCTCAGTTTATGAGTCACAAAAAGGAACATTGCTCTGTAGGCAGCAGCAATAATGCCACAACAATCGTATCCCAAAATTCCTGTCTTTCTCAATCAGCACAAACACCAGGAAGCTTAAGTCGCCAACTAAACCAAATGCAGGTTTG